TATTATATTAAGTGCAATAATTAGGCTTATTCCCATCTGATCCCTTAAAACCAATCCTTGAGGGATCCGTTTTATTTTGAAATTATTTTCTATTCCCATCAGATCCCCAGTGCAAGGGATCAAGAATAAATATTAATATTTTATTCCCACCTGATATCCTGGTACTCACAAGTTAATTTTTGGTAGGTACAGTGGTACAGTCAACAAGAAAATGTATTTGAGGGTTGTGCTGTATTTCATTTAGTTTAGAAATGAACAACATTAACTGTACTAACTTATATAACTGCATTAATTTTGATTTCAAAACTTCTTTTTCTCTTGACTGTACTTACCTTACAAATACTGTGAGGGGATCAGTTGAAATTAAAAATTCGCAGTGGATCAGTTTTGGGGATCAGATGGGAACAAGTCAATAATTATCCTGAAAATGAACAACAAAAAAAAATAGTAGTTAGGTACTCATTCGATACGTAAATAGAGCGATTACGTTCTGACTGTTTACACTTTTCATTGTGGTTTGCGTTATTTTCGTATTATTTTCGCATCAAAGTGCTCGTAATTTGTAGTATTATTATATATTTTGACATGTAATAGCTAAAAATTATTTAACAAAACTGCATAGGAACAGCGGACAATATGTGGAGTTTATGGCATTTTATAATAATGGCAATTTAGATTCTGTAATTTATTGGATGTTCACCTATAAAACATTTAATTAGCTTTCCGCCAATTTTATTCTTATTGTTGTAACTTCAGTTATCAAGAAAAATATGTTACTTGTCGGCTTGGTGGCTTCTTTTTTAACGGACTTCAGAAAAAGGAGGAAGTTCTCAATTCGACTGTATATTTTTTTGTACGTAAGTTACGCGATGACGACGAAACACCAATGTTTGGGTTATACGATTTCGGTACTATTCACAGAGCAGGGAATTCAATAGTTTAAGACGTTTGAGATTATATGTATTATTGTGTCTATTCATTATGAGCGCACAAAACATTGCTATGAATTAGGAAAGACAAGAACGGCCTTATTGTTAGTAGATCTTTTTGGATGAATATCTCATGCGTAAATTTTGCGAGCCCAGGCTGAGAAACCAGGTGTAAAGTGAAGAAATATTAATGATTCATTTTTTATCATTGACTTACAATTATATGGACGTCGGGTCCGCGCTAAAAAGTGTCCGCACTTGTAAGGCGCTAAAATCGTATACAGAGCGCGACACTCCGCTTTAGTCTTCATTTGTTCTACTGACAGCGCGATACTGCGATGACATTACAATTTAAATTTCGAATAGGTTGACTTGGGACATTTTTTTCGTGGTTTTTGTATTAGACCCGTCGTCCATTTATTTGTAAGTCAATGTTTTTTATAGTTTAATTAGACGTAAAATGAGTTTAGGGCAAGAATTTCAGAAAATTCATTGTACAATAATAATTAATAAAAAATATTAATGTCCCGATTTTCAATTTTGCTGGTGTGTCCACTTTCTGTTTCGTTGTACAAAATAGTCGTTCAGGTAAAATGTGTACGCTTTTAAGAAAACAATTCCATGTATGTTATTCACTATTAGAAGCACTAACTAAAATCATTGAAAGTATTGCAATTACCAGTATGTGGGAGACTGGGTACTTGATCAAACTTTGTCCACGCGAAAATTGTAGTTTTGGTGGCAAATATTCAACTGGTTGCAACTGGTAAGTAGTTTAACTAAAAACCATTACGTTTTTGCCCCGCGCAAGTCTCAGTATTTGGACCTGGCAGCGAAAAACATGGGCACTGTGTTCCATTTCCCGCCAAAAAAGTAATTATATGCCCTTTGGTGGCACGTGGGACAAAAAATATTCAGCTTTCCTGGCTCCATTTGGGCTCAATTTTTATTTTATCCTAAGGTCGTATTCTGAAACCAAATTAAGAGACTAATTTTGTCATTATTTTATCACAATTGAATCGTCTCGGTTTGATTTTTAAGCTTCTACTTTTTTTCCCGTAATTTATTTTTTGAGATTTCCTCTTACGTGGCTCAAATTTGGTGGTCTTGGTGGCGTTTGTGTTACCACCTTAACTTAAAAACGCCACCAAATTTTAAATTGTTATGATATTTTTAAATATAACGTTCACTTTCGAAAATTGTTTTAAAGTATTGTGGTTTATTTGTCCCAATAAACTTAAGAAAGATAGTGTTATTCATAATTTTTCAGATAACCAAAAATTACTTAATTGCTTTTTGATCTATTTGTACCTTAGCGATCTTTTAAATATGTATTTTACTTAAATTAATGATGATATCATTGATTAAATGATTTTGTTGAGAACGTCAAACACGAAAATTTAGTTCATTGTTGTTTTCATTGGCAGTTGAATAACTACGATACACTACGTTATCTCCAGGAATGTTTTCTGAAGATAAATTGTAGAAACTCAAATGTTTACCATGAGGACATGCGGTGGGTTAATCGACACATTGAGGCTTGATGCAAAATAAGACACAGAATGCTAATTCAGAGTTGTTACTTTTTTCCAAATAACCTGAAGAAGTAACACTTGGTACAATTATAACTAACTACTGAAGTAATTTCACAAAAAATACTTGAATATCATAGTGGTGAAACATCTTGACATTCAATAAAATTTATTTACAACCTGAAGAAAATTCATGTTACCAGGAAAAGGCCAGTCTTTTTCTACAATTTCGTAGTTTTCTACAGGATTAATTTTAATATTATCAATGGCAGGTTTCGAATCGATATCAGTAATGTTGTTCCCAAATGACACTTTGATCTGCAGTTCTATTTAATAATCCTTCAACTCCTCGGCACCTTTGCCATGGCCACAATATTCAAATTAAACGTGTACATTACGAAATTATTCAAAAAGGCTGGCTCATTCTTTAGTATATGAAGCCTTTTTTTAGTAACATGAATTTTCTTCAGGTTATTTGAAGATAACTCTAAATTAGTACTC